CTACGCTATATGATGAATCTATTATCCATGAAGACTTCCATTCCAAACATCTTTTTGAGTGACCATCTGTATAGTTATATGAACACATTATATATAAACAGTAAAGGCTCACAAAAGCTTTTATCAAATTTACCTGTGCTTTGTAGGATCTGTGTGCCAGCCAAGAGAACACAGTATTAGTAAAATTAGTGATTCTGTATCCAAAACACAGTGAAGACTGACAAGTAAATGTTTGGATGAGAGACTTTGTGGAGTTCACTTATTAGCTTTTATTCAAAAGATACAACCAAGCTCTAGTACAAAGCAGCCTTCAATGAACTAACTAAAGACTTCCTTAAAGACTAATGTTTTCCAAAGAACTAACTTGTGGCTTTGATATTTTTATATTATATTACTGTTTTGTACTATATTACCTTCATTTTTATTCTCTCCTACTTTGAGTTTATTTTTTGATTTATTTTCTAATGTATTAAGCTATAATACATAAGCTTTGTTATGTATTGTGTCCATTATCATTTAGTTTGGGGCATTTTTTAAACTTCTGTTATGACTTCTTTAACACATAAGTTATTCAAAGATGTCTTTTATTATTTTCAAATATAAAGGGGTTTATTTAACTTTTTAAGTTTTAGCTCACCTGCATTATAGAAACCATAGTGTACATAATACCCAATTTTTAAACTTATTAAAGTTTTCTTAACACTAGTACATTATAGGTTTTTGTAAATATCTCATGTATGCTTAAGAAAAATATATTCTGGAACATTCTCCAGGATCGATCATATGTTACACCACAAAACAAGTCTTAATAAATTTAAGAAGACTGAGATCATCTTTTAAAATCAAAATGGTATGAAACTAGAAGTCAGTTAAAAGAAGAAAACAGGAAAATTCACAAATATGTGGAGATCAAACAGCATGCTACTTAAAAAATAATGGGTTAAAGAAGAAACAGAAATTTTAAAAATCTTAAGACAAATGAAAGTGGAAATAAAACATATCAAAACTTATGTGATGCAGCAAAAGAAGTTCTAAAAGTGAAGATCATAGCAATAAATGTCTAAAGAAAAAAGAAAGAGCTCAAATAAAAAATCCTAACTTTATACTTCAAGGAACTAGAAAAAGGAGAACAATCTAAGCTCAAAGTTAGAGGAAGGTAGGAAATAACAAAGAGTAAAAACAAGTGGATTATAAACTAAAGAGACAATAGAAAATGTTAATGAAACTGCCCTGACCGTAACTGGTTGGGCAACATCTCGCAAAGTGAACGGTCGCTGGTTCGATTCCCAGTCAGGGCACACACCTACGTTGCAGGTTCAGTCCCCAGTCAGTGCTCATACAAGAGGCAACTGATTATTTTCTCTCTCACACTGATGTATCTCTCCCTCTTTTTTCTCCTCCCTTTCCCTCTAACTAAAAATAATTTTTTAAAAATGTTAATGAAATTAAGAGCTGCTTTTTTAAAAAAAATAAAATAGACAAACCTATAGCTGGACTTACCAAGGACAAAGGGTACTCAAAATTAGCAATGAAGGTGGAGACATTACAACTTATACCATATAAGTACAAAGGATCATAAGAGACTACTATATACAATTATATGCTATCAAATTGGAAAACCTAGAAGAAATGGATAAACTCCTAGGAACAACCTAACAAGACTGAATCATGAAAAAACAAAATATTAAAAAAGAAATTACCAGTAAGGAGATTACATTAGTAATCAAAGGCCTTCCAGAAAAAAGAATCTGAACAAGCAAAACAGACAGACTCATAGATGGAGAACAGATGACAGCCAGTGAAAGTGGGGAGGTTGCGGGGGTTGAGAGATTGAGGAAAAAGGACTCATGGACATGGATAACAGTGTGGTGATTACTGGGGGGAGAGATGTATAAGGGGACTAAATGGTAATGGAAAAATATAATAAATTTTAAAGAAAGAAAGAGAGAGAGGGAAGGAAGGAAGGAAGGAAGGAAGGAAGGAAGGAAGGAAGGAAGGAAGGAAGGAAGGAAGGAAGGAAGGGCCAAAACCAGTTTGCTTCACTGGTGAATTTTATCAAATATTTAAAGAAGAATTAATACCAACCAATCTTTCTCAACCTCTTCCCCAAAAACTGAAGAGAAGAAGAAACTTCCAAACTCATTTTATGAGGCCACATTGCCTTGATACCAAAACCAGAAAAGGGCACTACAAAAATAAAACAAAACAAGACAAAAAAAACCAATAGGCCAGTGTCCCTGAGGACTAAAGATGCAAAAATTTGACAAAATATTAGTACACCAAATTCAATGGTACATTTAAAAGATCATACACCACGATAACGTGGGATTTATTCCAGGGATGTAGGGATGAGTCAACCAATGTGATACCCCACATTAACAAAATGATGGATAAAAAGAAGGATCATGTCAATTTATGCAGAAAAAGTATTTGACAAATTCAACATCCATTGATGATAAAAAAAACTTTCAACAAACTGGGTACGTACCTCAACATAAGCCATATAGACAAGCCCCCAGCTAAGATCATATTCAATGGTAAATAGCTAAATGCTTTTCCTCTAAGATCAAGAACAAGACCAGTATAACCATTCTTGTCACTTCATTCAAGATAGTACTGGGAATTCAAGCCAGAGCAATTAGGCAAAAGAAAGAAATAAGAGGCATCCAAATCAGAAAGAAATAGTAAAACTGTTTACAAATGACATGATATTATATATAGAAAACACTAAGACTTTGCAAAAAACCTGTTAGAGTTAATAAATCAATTCAAGTAAGGTTGCAGGATACAAAAACAATATACAAAAATCTGTTGCCTTTCTATACACTAACACCAAACTATCAGAAAAAGAAATTATGAAAATCCCATTTACTAATGCAACAAAAACAACAAAGTCCCTAGGAATTTAACAAAGGAGGTGAAAGCTCTATATACTGAAAATTATAAGACATGGATGAAAGAAAGTGAAGTTACAAATAAATGGAAAAAAATATTGTGTACTCATGTATTGAAGAATTACTACTACTAAAAGCAATGCAATCCCTATCAATGTTTCATTGGCATTTTTCACAGAAAGGAAAAAAAAAACACTAAAATTCATATGGAACCACAATGAAATCCCAAATAACCAAAGCAATCTTGAGAGAGCAGAACAAAGCTAGAAGTGTCATGCACTCTGATATCAAATTCCATTACAAAGCGACAGTAAACAAAACAGTATGGTTTTGGCATAGAAACATATACACAGATCAATGGAATGGAATAGAGAGCCCAGAAATAAACCTGTGCATATATAGTCAACTAATTTTTGACAAAGAAGCGAAGTACATACAATAGGGGAAAGGATAGTCTCATCTTCAGTAAACAGTGTTGGGAAACTGGACCACAATTATAAACTATACATAAAAATCAACTCAAAGTGTATTAAAGACTTGAACATAAGACCTGAAACCGTAACACTAGAAGAAAACACAGAGAAACTCCTTGACATTGGCCTTGGCAATGATTTTTTGCATTTGACACAAAAAGCAAAGGTAGCAAAAGCAGAAATAAACAAATGGTCCTATACCTTGTTATGCACAACAAGGTCACTAAGTGACTAAAGAGACTGCAGCCTTATACAGTGTGGATGTGCTGGACAAAGGGATGACTCAAGTCCTGAGCAGGCCGGAAGGGGACAGGGCAGCAAAGTGCGAGATTTCATCATGCTGCTCAGAACAGTGTGCAATTTTAAACGTTCAAATGGTTTATTTCTTGAACTTTCCACATAATATTTCAACCACAGCTGACCACAAGTAACCGAGACAGAATGCAAAACGGTGGATAAGGGGACCTACTGCACTCATGTTTATGCTACCCTCGCTGATTTAGATTTACTCGATCTATACCAATAATAGAAGGATCTTAAAGTCCCTGGAAAAACTCTAGCAAGACAAATCAAGAGAAGAGATTTTGAAAACTCAGGCAAATGAAAAAGTTTCTTAAAAAAATACTCACACACACACACACACACGTGTGTATACTTTACACACACACACACACGCTTTGAGATGTGACTGAAAAAGAAATTAAAAGCTTGAATAGCCCTCCAACTATTTAAAGATATTGAAGCCGTTGTTAAAAATCTCCCCACGAGATTGGATAATACAAATAGTTATAAGAATATATTTTTATGGAGATCGGGAGGAAGGTCAGGGCTAATACATGTCAATATGGTATCAGAGAATATGCAAAATAGAAAAACAACTATGATACAAATTGTAAAAAAATAAAATAAATAATAATACCTTGAATACGTATATCAAGAAAAGCTACTGCTGTCCTGAATGGCCCAGCGGGCAACCTTCCCAGCCTGGGCTGCTCACAGCTGGTGTGGAGGGCTATTCTCTGGGGTAGAGGTTGACCCCATCAGACCAATCACTGTTCACTTCTGCCAGGAAGGAAGGACACCTTTGTTGGTAGCATTTAGGGAAACGAACAAATTACGACATGGAAAATAAAGAAATGAAATAGAAATGTGTAAAGTTTTGGGGGTATGAAAGTACTAGTTCTAAAGAATTCTAGAATTTCAAAGTTCATCTCCATTTTTTAAAAAGATTTTATTTATTTATTTTTAGAGACAGGACAGGAGAGAGCAGAAACATCGATGTGAGAGAGAAACATCAATCGGCTGCCAGATGCATGTGCCCCAAATGGAGACAGAGCCCACAACCCATTCATGTGCCCTGCCCAGGAATCAAACCCATGACCTTTCCTTTTGCAGAACAACACCCAATCAACTAAGCCACATCAGCCAGAGCATCTCCACTTTTAACAGGGCTCTTTTTTAAGTATCATTTTTGGGATGGAGGATAAAGTTTAGAGGCTGACCCAGCTGCACAATGGGAGCTCAAACCTCTTTCTCCGTGTATATATTTCTTCCTTCAGTAGCAGCATCACAAAAAGTAACCTCACTGACTGAACCACTGGAACAAACTTCAAAAGGAACTTCAACTACTCACCTGGATACAAGCCAGAGGCTCATTTGTCCAAATCGAATATCCACCAACTAAATATATTCTGTCATTATGGACAGCAACTCCAGATTCATTTTGGCCTAAAGTAACGAGAATTGAATAAAAAGAAAGAATAAATCCATTTCCTTGCATGTTTTAATTAACCCTTTTACCACCGAGGGATACAATTTCCCCTGAGGCAGACTTGTATACTCCACAGGATTTCTGCAGCAATAATCACTGCCTGCCAGAATTCAGAAGAAAGAATTAAACACTATTGCTCAGAGAACAAATCTGTTTTGGATCAGAACCAGGCCACGACACTTATCAGTTAGCCACGTTAGTAAATACAGCATGAAATACAGTAATAATAAGCCACTTAGAACTAAGAGTTTTATATTGTTATATGCCATAAAGTTATCACGGTGGAAATAAGGTATATTTTAGAAATGCAAAACACCTTTTGTACAACAAATGCCTTCAAAGCAAGTGCTTACATTTGTAAAGTAACAGCTGCAACCCCAAGAAACCAATAAAACAGAGCCATGCCCCTAGCATGCCCCAAATGAAGACAAATGACAAAAAAGATATAGTTACTACCCTCCCTTTCTTTACATACACAACACTTTTAAGACTATATTAAAGTTCCTAAGCTGGGACCAGCCTGCATAGTCCCTAGATACTGACACGCCAAAATGATGAAAGGTTCCTTCCCCGTTTAAAAAAGAAGACAGAATAACTCACTACCACATATTCTTCCCTGGAGGCCATCAAAGAGTGAGATAGTCTCTTTTTATTGATGGGCTGACACAGGATTGACTCAGGTAATAAATAAGCTGCGCCCTATAGCAGACCGAAGCACAGATCCAGGGACCGAGGGGCTCAGGTACCACTGCGGCACCTTAGACAGTTAAGTCCTTGTAGGTGGGCCTCAAAAATCATTCCTGTGAAAACCGCAGCTCAGTGCAAAACACCTGAACCTCTCACATCGGTTATGAGCTCAATGGTGCCTTCCCAGCAGCAGCAATGGGCGCCTGAGTGCCCACTGAGCATATTAAGCTGTCTTCAGGCACTAGCCCGGCCCACCATTCCGAGTTTTACTTTCCTACCACTAGACCAGCCTGGAAGGGAGCTGGTCACTGGTGGATGTTAATAATGCCAGCTGACAAGGAAGAAATCATTTTCTAGTCCTTAAAGAAACATCAGGAGTTAAGCTGTGCACTGCTTCCCTTTCATTCCCCTTTTAGATGAGGATGGCCCATCCCCAGCGTTGCCCTGCAGTAAGGCTGGGATGGGTATGTGTGGCCAGGAATGTCGCCAAACCCCTATGCACTGAACTGCTATAAGATTTAGTCTGTAGGAGAAAACAGCCACAAAACAATATTCAACAGTGACAAGCAATGAAGTCCTGCACTCACAAGAAATGAGCACTGAAAGTAATGAGAAGTAAAAAATAAATTGCTTCTGTACAGAGTCATGAACTCCTTCGGCACCTGGTTCCTCCAACTTGTATCCAAGTTCCTGTGGGAACACAGTGACAGCAGTGGATTTGACATGCCTCTCTCAGCCGTATGAGAACACGCACAGACGTCACACAGGCCCCGAGAAACGAGATGCTCGGACACCTAGTAGAGGGATTTTTTTTTTAGATAAATAATGTGCACCTCTGTAGTTAATAAAAACAAATTGTTCTACCACCACACACTTAATATTTAGAGAGGCAGCTTCTTGAATCTCTGCTCTTTCTGATTTACATAATCAAAGGTACTTGCCAGTCAACAGGTTGAAATTACAGCGCGTCCACTGGTCAGTGTCTATGTTGTAAGAATCTATATGCCGCACAAGGATCCGGTCGTTGTTGTAGTCCAGGTCATTGCCTCCAAGGACATAAAGCTTCCTGTGGACGGCAGCCATGGAATGGTAGACCCTTCTCTGCAGCATGGGGCTACGGCTTATCCACTTATTCTGAAAAAGGCAGTGAGGGTGAATTCCGTTAATAGGAGAACTTCACGGCAGAGAATAGCTGTGCCTCTTTAGTAGTGGGGACCCTGCTGCTTGTCAATCACCTTCTGCTTAAATGTTGCTTAGGTACTTCAAAAGGTATGGGCTTCTTGCCTAAGATCAAGTGCAGAAACACCCACAAATTCCAACGCTATTTTTCTACTTATATAACACATTTCTTCTTGTTTGGGTTACATTTTATAGCACAATTTGAATTGAAAATATGAAAATATGAAAATAGAGAAAGTGAGGGAACTTACTCATGCAAATTACTTAAGAGTGAAAGTGCACGGTTAGGTACCATGCACTGTCCCTAGGTCAGCGCACCGTAGAAAGTATGCTGTCTACAGTGGCGCAACAATTAAGAAACGGGTTCCGGATCCAGGACGCCTAGGTTATAACCTGTGTGTAACCTTGAGTTACTTAACCTCTCTGTGCCTGTTTCCTCATCTGTGAGAGGGGGATAATAATGCCCACCCGACAAGCCTGTTGTGAGGGTTAAATAAGCTAATACACACAAAACATGTCCATTCCTTACACATACTGTCCAATAAATATGCACTTCTTCAAAAGTATTGTGATAATCACTGGCTACCCAAGGCCCCTGCATAAGCTGAGGGGAGGGCGGCCTTGCTGTTCTCTCCAAGCTTAACCTCTTGAGATCAATGAGAAACAAACTCCTTCACTGCCTTTGTAGTTGCCTCCTTTAATATATTTACAATCACATTTTCTGTCAAACTGAGAAATGTTATTTCTAGGCATACATATGTTTTGGTAGAAGGCCAAGTTTTACATAACTGTGGGGAATATTTGGTTCTAGGTTACTCTCAATAATGAGAAAGGTATCATGACCCTTCTTATAATAACGTTCCTCTTTAAAATATAATGTAAAATTAGATAAAAATAAAATATGAATTTAATTTTAAATTTCAACTAAATAATGGACAGGTAAGTAAACCTAACCATTTCTTTCGACATAAACACAAAATATACAGTAACTACCCAGATCCCTTTTTGCCAAGAAAAATTTGGATTTCAAGCAGAAAAGAAATCATACGATGTCTTGAATACACAGAATTTCACCAGTTCACAAAGCTGTAAGGAAGGAGGAAAAAAGGGTTTTGTATAAATGCCGGTCCATTGACTAAAGGCATATCGACTAGCTCATTTCTAATTTCTTTACTTTTAAAGATACACTCAAGAAAAAGAAAGAAAAAATGAAAGTGGTTTGTACAATTTGAAATGCATTTATCTGCTTGTCCTTTTTCATTATGCCATAAGAATCTCCTTCCAATGAAATGTTTTCAATAAAATAGTCACCCTTTTCTTTCAGGTATTCTGCCAATAAATATTTTTAATACATTACACACGAGTGGATTTAACTCAAAACTCTGACGACAGTTTTCTTAGGATGCTTTCTGTGAGGCAACCCGTTGCATTAGCAGTCCAGTCCCCTGCCATAGGACTATGGACTCCATCTGGTTTGCAAAGCCTGCCTGCATCCCCTGATTATATCTTTAGCTTCCTTCACTGCCGTGCCTGCCAGGTGAGCCGACAACCGCTGCAAAGGCAAAGAAACAGAGAGGCCTGGCGGGGTCATTCCTAATAAGCCTGCATGTGAATACTAATCAGTGGTGGGGAAGCAGAGGTCACCCCCGCCTGCCTGTTGGCAGGTAGGGATGTGCTCGGTGGCAGATGGCAGGCATTATCGACTCTCCACAAAGGCCTGGAAGAGAAATAAGCACCAGGGCTGAATGATAGAATTATTGAGATTCTGAGCAAGATGCAAGCAGATGTGATGTTTGCCAGGACCCAGCGTAAACAATACGCCAGCAGAATTTTAAAAAAGAGCATGTGTGTACAAACATGAAACAGAAGTCATTTGAGAAATGTTAACACCTTCTTCCTCTTTAACCACGTGTGCACTGAACTCAAGCAATTGCAATTAATGATCCCTCTTGAGACATCTGGCCCATGGACATGTGGTCTCAGAAATCTACGGCTTCTAATGGCATCAGGAAATGCACTTGCAAAGACAGAAGTAGCTTTGTTCAATTCAGAATTAACTAATTGTTAAAAGAAAAAGATTCCAAATAGACTGAGGTCACTTTGGACATGCATTTTGGTGGCTAATCCCAAACCAGGCAGCTAATGCCAGCCTGTCATTTCATGTGCCATTGTCTTCAGCTGATGAATATTAAAATTATTTGGGATATTGGCATAATCATGAAAAATATTTATATTACCAAAATCACAGAAATAGAATATTTCAGCAAGTATTTGCCAAAGTCACAGATATTTTCGAAGAAGAAAAGATAATAAAAGTAGGTCTTCTTTGGGGAAAAAAAGACATTACGTGTGCATGAGAAGTGGGCAGAAGCGGCACAGGCACCGTCATCAAAATGCTTCCAGTTCACGCCCCTGCTCTCAGATGAAAAAGAAACTTTTCAGATACTTTTACTTTGGACTTGTCCTAGACACTGTGCTAGGACATTCTGTCTACACTAAGTTAAATAAAAGTTATTTTATTTTGTTATAATGAAACCATAAGAATGCCCCCTGGCCTTCACCGCCACCCCTGGAATGAGATGCCTTCTCAAAGGACAGGCCAAGGAGACCGTTCAAATCCTTTCTTCGGACGCCTGTGAGTGTGAACAGCTACGCGCGATACTGGGAGCAGAAGGCATTTGACTCATCACTACATCTTCCCTTTTCTCCTACGCTGGGTGAAACCCTGAAAGAGTTAAGCATTTTGTATAGCATAAAACTAAAGGACCTGGGGTTTTATGAGAACACAAAAGCGGGGGAGCAAAAAGCAGCTTATCCAGATGCTTCCTTTTTTCTATAGAGGTTTAAGATGCATGTGTGTGCAGATTTGGCATTCCAACTACTAATTACTGTGGAAATCTTTTAAAATTCATTTTATTAAGGTAATGAGTTTTTCTTTATGCTTCTTACCTGGTTAGGCTCATATACCATTAGTCTGTTCTGATACTGTGCAGTGTTAGTTACTCCACCTGTAATGGATTAACATGTGTTAGAGCTTTCATGAATGAGAAATAGGATATTCCAACATAAGAAAATACAATTAAAGAAAATTAGCTACTGCTGAGGATCTGTTTGTATACCCTTGTGGTGAACCCATGACATAATTAAGAAGCTTATTGTTGAAGCAGTTTCGTTTTCCAGAAACATTTCAGAAGCAATCCAGTTGAGAGCAAGCAACAAGTATGCTGAGGTTAGCAAGAAGTCCCCAGTTCTGGCAAGCTGCCCTCAACGAGGGGAGGTGTGAGGAGAGGGGGTAGCAGCAAACACAGCACACAGATAAATCCGTGCCATTTACGCCAGAAACATAGTTATATGGAAAATTCTGGTCTTTTGCTAAATTGTCAATTTTACAGCTCTAATCCTCTATCTACTAATACAGTCATATCTTGATCTCTCTTTAGAGGAACTATATCTAAGACAAGACAGTACTTACCAAAAGAAATCTAGAGACAGCGCTTTCTAACAGAATACAAGAGGCACAAACATGAGTCACACGTGCAGTTGTAACTTTCCCAATGGCTACATTAAAAACTAACCAGTGAGATTAAACTAAATATTATTGCACTCAAAATGTTACCTTCTCAACATGAAATTAATATAAATATTGAGATATGTCATCTATTTTTTTCACCCTAAGTCTTAAAAGACCAGTGTGTATTTGACATAGTACATCGCAATCCGGACTGGGCGTGCTGCAAGCTCTCGGCGAGGCCCCTGCGGCCGGTGGCTACCGGTGGGCAGGTGAGGCCCAGGTTAGGGTAGCGCGCTAGTCCTCTGCTCCTGTGAAGCCCTCTTGACAGCCGCGGAGCTCCGGAAATCTTGAGACCTTCTACTTAATCAAAAACCACTGAACAGTCTTTACAGGTTTGGCTAAGTTTCTCGTACTTCTTTTTATGTTCGTGGTAGACACTGAGCCCTATAAAACCCAGAAGTAATTGATTTGACTTTAATTTTTACCATTAAATAGAAAAACTAAAAATCAACATATAAAACAACAGAGAGAAAATAATACAATACCAAATGTTAGGTAGTAACAGAACTGTAAGAACCACCCCCCCCAAAATTCTATCTTTAGAAATATTGCTTCATACATAGTACTAGATACTGGTGTAAAATAAATAACATTCTTATTTAATAAGTATCACAAAGAAGCAGCTACTGTTGCAATAAATATCTAAAATTGAGCCAGACTAAAAAGTTTCCTATTGAGATTTTTTGAATTTAATAAATAAATACAGTTACACAATATTGTCCAAGGCAGCCTTCACGTCCCCCTGAGTTTGACTACAGCTCAGACAGGCCTCTCCATGCCTCTGGCCCTGACTGGGAGTTGAAACGGTGACCCTTGGGTTCACAGGCCGGCGCTCAATCCACTGAGGCACACCAGCCAGGGCCTCTGTCTCCTATTTTCTATGGAGGGTAGAAGCCTAACTTTTGAGAGGGACCAATCAGCAAACACAAATGGCCTAACCATGGAGGACAACATTTACAAACTCGGGGATAACTGGGTGTGCTCGACACAGCACACTGCTCTGCCTTCCTCCAAAAGGCCTTCAGCACTTCTGCACTGGCTCACCCCAGTGCGTAAAAGCCTGCTTGCCTCTTGTTTTTCAGAGTTTATTTCAGACTGCATTCTGGTCGCTCTCCAACAGGGCAATAGTCTTGAAGAGAGTCTCCCTTGTCTGTTTTACTTTGTCCATTATAATTTTTGCTTTGACAGTTCAAGTACTTTGAACAGGTCACCACCATCAATTCCATGGCCAGGAGTCAAGTCAACTAGAATCCAGAGGATGAATACATAATCCTCAGCTGAGCTGGAATAATCAATCAATTCTAATGGATATATGAAGGGGAGGGAACCTGTCCAGGTCAATCATTACTCTCTCATTCAACTCTAGTAAGGAGATTATATCTTTCATGTAATTGACCATGGCTATTATTAATAGGAGGGCTTTAAAAAAAATTCTCTCTGAAGCTTGCAACCACTTTTCAAGCTCAAAAGCTTTGTCTATGGAGGAAATCCAAATAACAGAGAGAAATGGGCTTCCTGCCCTCAGAGAAAAAAAACCCAAAATACAGTCTTCTCTATGTTTCTCACTGAATGTCCCATTTTAAAATGAGGCCCTGGCCAGGTAGTTCAGTTGGTTAGAGCATCATCCCGCTACGCCCAGGTTGTGGGTTCTGCCCTGGTCAGGGCATATGCTAGAATCAACCAGTGAATACACAAAGAAGCGGAACAACAAATTTCTCAATCTCAATCTCTCTCTCTCTTTCTCTCTCTCTTCCCACCCCATCTCTCTCTCTAAATAAGTCAATAACTACAAAAAAAAAAAAATTTAAGAAAGCGGAAGCTGAAATGCCTACATAGTTAAACATGTATTTCAAAATAAATACAGAGGTATGTTTGCTTTTTTTCCTCCCAACCTTCCTTTTCTTATCTGATTAAAAACAGAATGTCCAATAATTCTTTCTACACAAGAATAATCAAACCTTCTGAGACCTCACAAGTCTTCAGTGTTAAAATGATTGCCAAGTTTTGATCTGAGCCGTAACCGCCAGATTAATGTCCAGCTCACCTACGATCATTTCTCCAAATGAGAGGGAACAGAAGGGAAAGCTCCCACCCACTATTTCAAAACTCTGATGGTTTATCTACTTGTTTTAGAAATATGGGACAGAATTAATATCTACTGCAGTAAACTATCTGTTTATGACACTATTTGAAAATATTTACACTACTCTAGGTATCAGACTCTGCCCATTATAGATTAAATGCACAGCCAATGGATTAGAATGTAGCTATTACATCCTCTCTCCCAAGCAGGGCACACAGTTTATCTTTATGCTCGTCAGAATTATTATTTACTGTCTTCCACAGATGCATCAGCTGCATTATAATACAGTTTTTTTTCCTTAATCTGCACTCAGTAATTAGATTCCTTACCCTTACATACAAATTTTCACTCACATGACAATATTTAGAAATGAGATACTGTGTTACTAGCTGAGAGTAAAAATAGAAGTCCTGCTTAGTTATTTGGTTGATTACTTCTAGAATGTTAAACCACAGGAGGTGCCTAAAAAACTTGGTGCTATAACTTTTGCCAAGTCTGGATTGCAAGGGAAAACCTCAGAAATTGGTTTTATTGCATTACCCTTTGAAATAATTTACAAATGAGCATATAAATAAAAATAATTTCTTCTCAGTACAAAAATAAATTTTTAAAAAAGCATCCAAGTTTCCAGTCCACGTTTCTTTAGCAGTGTTACTCATTTGCAGAGCTTTATCATTACATTCCCTTCACATAACACTCCTCACTTTTAGATTAATCTGCTGAAATGAGATGCTAAGGATTTGCATACAGATTTGACTATACAAAAATAGATATGGAATTAATAACAGTCTCTATATGTTTTAATTTCTCCTAGACTGGAGTACCCTTGCCTGCAGCAGTATTCCTGGCTTTGAAAGTCATCAAGCTGATTTGTCTGCTCTGGGTTATGATGCCACATGCTGCTACCCTGTCCCTTGCAATCAAAGGCTTGCAAAGATAGATTCCATGCCATCGAGTATATTTTATAGATTGGCAGTTTTGATCTCCCTCCCCCACCCCGGGGGGGATAATCTGCATCTTAACAGCTTTCTATAGATACATCTGTCATTAAATATGCCATTTTGTATCAGCATCCATTTTGAAAGCCAAGTTTTCCCTAACTTTGAAATGCCACAGTCAAAGTTAAGACTTTCAGCCAAAATTGAAAATGGACAACCTTGTCTTATACGTTTGCACTGTGACTTAAAGATATATTGCAGGTTCCCCCAAAGTCAAATAAGTCTTTAAAAACTGCCAGAAGGAATGAAAAGTTACCACCATGCTACCAGCAGTGAGCAATGCTTTCTATCATCAAGACAAGAGCAAAGCATTTTTCTTAAGCTTCCCTGTTCAACTCCCCACAAATGTTGTGACAAATGGATGAATGCATGCAGGAGAGCGGATGACAGGTGACTGCCAAACAAGCAGTGTTTGTCTCCACTACTGAGAATACACCGACTCCCCAAACTCACTCTGTTCAAGAGCAACAACTGGTCAATGCAGACTGTGTCTATAAAAAACAACTTTCAATACATGATGATCAGGGTAGGTCAAGCCTAGGAGCCCCTGCTAAAGTTTTTTTCAAGGACAGAAAATATCTCTGTTGATGAAGTCCTACACTAGCAGAGTACTAGTACCCTTGCAGGGCAAGCAAGATGCAAAGAACTGAATGCGCCCCCGCTCTCAGGGAAGATGCTCCGGGCTGGAATCCTGCTACCCAGTTCAGGGTGTGGGAAAAGTCTCAGGGTCTCTACAAGTGCCCTGGAGGCCTGCAGTGCTCAGCTGCACGCTGGTGGGGGTCTGGGGTTCCAGGGAGGAGTTTCTGGACAGGCTGCGGCATCAGCAGGCTCCTTTATGACTCTATCCTTGGGAGAATCATATAATGCAGCCAAACTTAGGTAGGTTCCTTATAATCAACATGGAGACGATGAAATCTCTCTCGTTGATTTTAGATGAACTATATAGTGTGTGGTACAGAGGCAATCAACAAAGGGAAGTTTATGACAATACTGTACTCATTTATGGAAATTTCTTACCTTTTCCATAAAAGGTATAAATGAGTATGTATGGAATATTGAAGAAATAACTAAGTGTGTAATAATTAATAATGAATGAATTCTATAGTCTGAAATAGATTTCTTATAACTCTTTTTTTCTAATAACCAGAATTATTGACTAGCTTATTAGGATATCAAGAAGTAACATGCTAGGGCCGCTGGTTGCTACCCTAAAGCACCAAAGAATATTTTAATCTTAGTGGACACTCCAGTTCACAGGGAACTTTTAAGTGGACACATCAGGTGATCAAGCTCCCAGCCTCTACCAGCTGGGTGGCTTCGTCACGTAGGAGCTGCCCCCAGGCGCAGCGACAGTCC